GGAAAGATTGAATAATTAAACTAGAAATGAAAAGCTGATGAAACCCTACCTTGTCATAGCACTTTGGTGTACCCGACTCATTGCTGCAAGTACTCGGTTCATTTTCTCACTTTTGATATGGTCTGTATGATATGAACAAATGTTGAAATTAATATTTGTTGCTGAAATTAGTTGGTGACATGAGTACTGCCTCTAGAGGGCAGTATATGTGTGCATTCAATTCCTGTGAGGTCATCCATTGTGCTTATGAAGGAAACATTGATATATCTAAGTGTTGTTTACATGTTACTGAGGTTATTTACTCACGGTAAGTTGTCTTCTCCCAAACTTTGCCACTTTCATCAAAGGTGTCTGTTGCCATACCAAACTTTCCTTTGACTTCATAAATACTGGGAAACTGAGCAGTATTCATCATACCAATCTTTTTATTGCCTTCCGTTGCCGTCATCACTGGGAATTTATAATATATGCATTTTTACATGAATAAATTATGCACATGCAAAGATTGAGAGGCGTTATACAGATATTCAAAGTATTTAAATGCACATTGCCATGGTAACCCCATCCTTTGAGGATACTTTTAGCAATAACAATTCACATAAGCTGAGTCATGAAAATTTACTTAAGTTATTCATGTACTTTCAGGAGCATTGATGTAAGCAAGTTATTTTTGTTGATTTACCAATCCTATACCCTTGCTAATTCAAGATGCAGCCAATCCAAGAGTTTGTTGGCCTCAATACTTTTACTAAATTATTTAGGAAACAAATATAGTGTGGAATACTTTATTTTCTCTGGAATTAATTTTCGCTGAAAATGCTTTTTGGACGTTTTGTATGGAATTTATTTTCACTGATTTTTGATGAGTTCAATGTGAAATATAGGAAAAAAAGTATATTCGCTGGATTTTATTTTCACAGAATCATCCCTTCAGCGAAAATAGCGAAAATAAATTCCAAGGAAAATAAAGTATTCTACAGTACATCAAAGATAAAGCCACTTAATTAGTATACAGCGATCAGAAATTCCCTATTAAAATGACTGAAGTTTTCACCTGACGATAGAAAAATTTATTAAAAAAATTTGAGATTTATACAAAATTGAATACATGCTTCACAGTACAGTCATGACCTGCATGATGATGGTGTTCCACTAAACCTACCCATAATGCCAGAAGCCATTCTGTCCAAAGGTGACAACCACGCTATCGATACTTTCTTATATCGTGGCCCAGTAACCAGTGGATGGTCAGCAAGGCTTGGCACTGAAGTAACCGTCAGAGCATTCGTGTTGTCTTCATTTTCAACTTTTTCTATCTTCACCCTGTTCCGCAAAGGTTGTTGCTCTAAAGAATTGATTTCTGCACATAGAGAACATTAATAGTCATTAAATCTGTTTTGTAATAGTTTTTGTTTGAGGTTTAAACTCAAACTTATTGCATCACTAATTTATGATGTGCATACAAAACCAATTCTCGCCCAACTGAATATTCAGTCATTTACAAATACACGCCATGTCCAAAATCTTCAATTCCATAATACTATTTTTGTTTATTCTCCACTTGGTGCCACTGTAACCTTTCAGTACTTGCGTTTTCAATCCCCATGCAGGGAGCATGCGAGGGTATTTTGGGGATTACCCTAGGAAATAATGTGACAGTTATGTAAAACACTTACTAGTACCGTATTATCATACAGATTTGTGTAAACCTTTTTGATCTCGTCTGATTGTCAATTAATTTATTAATGAATAAATAGAAATGGTAAAATGATTAAATTTCTACTACACCTTGCAGTAAATTATGTTCAATTATATTCTTCAGTTGAATGGCTGCCATTCCCGGAGGTTTATAAACAGCAAACACGCCATTCAGACCTCTCCATGCGACCGAAGCGAGGCCGGTACCAGTCATTGTGTCTTTAATGTGTCGATATATTTTAACTGTGCGACACAGTTTTTGTCACAGTAAATACAAAACATGAGAAAACAGCGCCACACACGTGTGAACGATACACTACTTCCGGGTTGGAACTTCTCCAAGAACGTTGGTTATTTCCTCCACTGTAGAATACCCTCTGCCTCGCTTTCGACTACGGAAGTGGCCCGGTAAATTTTGAAATTTTGGCACATAAACTTGTGAAAAACAAACATAATGGATTCAGAAAATTGCATGATTGTATTTTACAACTCACGAATGATTTGTGTCTTACTGAATATGATAAAACGTCTTGAAAACAAGCTTAAACTTTTCAACATTTTGAATTATGACGTCATTGATAACCAACCAATCAACGTTTGCCGTTCAGCGTTATGTTCGAAGTTCAATAAACATCAACAACTGCAATTTCGCTCGTTGGCGTTTCCAGATTTATAGTGCATTTAGCTGCAATAACCAACTGATACCCTTTATTGTGCAGCGGGTTTGCTCGTAAGTATCTATCTTTTCGAAAGGTAACGTTTGTTTGCGACCACTCTCGTAACAACCGTCAGAAAACCTCGTCGATTTATCAGACGCCAATCTGTATACGTCAGCCATATTGAATTCCAGAATTCTGCTGGAATACTACGGCACAAGAATCTCGGCAGGTGTATGCAAACAAGTGTATGCTCTGCTATTTCACATCGTCGTGTCACACATTATCGTCATTTGACTGTGATTTGGTTAAACAGATTGCAGATATATATATATATGCTTGATAGTAGACTTTAAAACTATAAAATCAAAATATTCTTGACAAATGAATTTGAGTAGTCTTGGCTTGAAACCATTTCAGAAATCTTTGATCACTATATTGATGGAATAGATCTGTGATTTTTTTATTTTTTTTTATTTATTATGTATTCAAAAGAATTCGTTGTCTCAATTATTCAATACATCAATCAATACATTTTTCTGAACATTTTTTAATGAATTAAATATAACTGATGTTTATCATGCTTTCTTTTTCCAGTTTCAACTTTTTGCATCTACAAAAAAATAAATCGCTCATTTTAGACAACTACAGAATGACAGTAGATAGGGTGAGAGCTCGTTCATCGTCTCCTCCATTACATGTCCATGTTGATCAAGACACACCAGTCCATGTTCACGTTAAAAAGGGAGTGCTAAAAAAGTCTGCAGCAGCCAAGGCAGCCGAGGTAAGTCAACTCAAATTAAACCTTGTAAAAGTTGATAACATTCTGGGTGGACAACATATATTTAACAGTAGACCTGTAAAAAAAAAAAAAAGGTGCAGTAACATTAACACAACACTAAATTGCAATCCAAAATGTCAGTTTACAGTTGGTTGCCATGGAGATGTAATTAAAATAAGATTAAACTGTAAGCTCATAGTTTTCCTATATGCTGCTCGTTTATATGCAAGCATGTTTTGTGATCAATTTATAGTTGTTATTTAAATTAAAAATTGCTACATTCCATGTTTTCAACTTATAAATATTTTATTATAAAATCACTGACTTGACCTGACAAAAGGACATTCTTTGTTGGTATGAATTTTTATGGCTTCCTGACAGTTTTTTTTTTTGACAGCTGTTCCACTTCATTTCAATATTTCATGGCTTAATCTTGAATTCCTGTGCTGTAATGTGTAATTTACTGTAAATAATCACTTGTATCATGTATATATGAATTAATATAAATATACAAGTACAGTGTCAACTTGGCAATGGCATGGTTGAATCAACCCTTTCCACCACTATAAATGAGTCAGTTTTTCCTCATGCAGCAAGCAGAAAGACTAATAATTGAAAAAAGTTAAAAGCCTACCAAAATGCATTTGGGAAATGAACATTGTGCAGTGATCTTCGAATTTCTGAAATATTCCATTCAGTTGTACAAATTTATCTTGATATCTGATAAAATGACAGTTGATCGTTATTTGGGCAATCAGTACAACATGTGTACATGCCAAATTCTGTTGTGTGTATATGTATGATGACAATTACTATGTATGTTGTCTTTTTGATAGGATCGTTTGTGTAGATCTAGGCAGAGACACCACACCTTTTCTGGATACTCCAGATCCAAAGAACCGTGGGTTCCTGCACCTGGCAGATCAACTCGAGGGAAAAAACTCTCTTGGCAGGTAAGGATTTCAAAAATTGCCAGCATTGGTGACATGAATGGGTTTGTTGTAACAATAGGGAAGGGTTAGACCTTATCAACAAAAGGCAGGTACACCGCTGGCAGTCAGCCAAATTCAGGTATGGCTTAGATAAATAGCATTTGTATCTGGTTCATTAGAATAACTGCCATCCAGGGCATGAATGGAGATTGTTATCCAGATTGTAATTTCCAAACAACTTGTATCCACACATTTTTTGCAATTATTTTACATGTTCAAATTAATCAGCTGATAATATTTGAGACGCTGGTGGAGTGCTGTGTAGTATGTGTGTATGGTACTTTAGACAGTGTAATACACATACCAAGCTATTGTGTTTGAAAATGACAGTTAAACTGTTCATTGTTATCAGCGACAGGAGTCAGTGACAATACATTGCAAAATGTGCTGTTTACACTTGAATGAATGACGTTTGCATGTACGTTCATGCTGTACATATCTTAGTGTAGATCTCAACTGTTTTTCCCCCCTTTATATTGTTAACACAGAGTTAACTAATGACATAGCGTGTAAGGTTATGTATCTTTTCATTATTTTCTGTAGTAATATCAGCCATCTACATGTGTATGCTGCAAAATTAACTTGGGGTGCCACAGTGGGGAGGGTCCAGACCAGTTGATTTCTTGTATGTCTGCTTAGTATTTGATCCTGATATATTTTTAATCTCTCCATATAATATTACAATTGTGTTCACTGACTGTCACAGCTGTGCCAACCTTTAGTTACAGACACTGTTTTCACAAGTACATTGTAGAATATAAACCAGTTTTTATGTACGACTGTAATGCCTGTTTTACTTTGTGGGTTTCTAACTGGTACAATGACTCTTTGTCTTTCATGGCCGAATTTATGTACATTACCTATTCAGTCAGGTTTCTCTGCAGCAATGCCAGTTGAAATCAAATTTATATTTTCCCATGTCCTTGTCACTCATGAGTTTTTGATTTTAATACATCATACCTGTAGGTGTCCCAATATAACCCTCCCTCCTCCCATTACATATTGAGCCCCTCTAAATCCTACTTAAGATTATCACCAAGGAAGGGAATGACCTTTACCCTGGCTGAATACCGCTGATGAAAATTATTTATTCACTCACTCACTCACACATATATATATAGGATTGTTGTTCATGTTTGCCTTGGCTTGGATTAAGCAGGTCATAGCACAACAAATTGCTATTATGATAGGAAAATATTATAGTAACACAGCCCTATATCATGTAGTCCCAAACTGTGGCCAACTGTACTACTGTATTTTCTTTATTACTGTAAATTACTTTATATTTGCTGAAGAATCAGTGAAACTAAACTACCTACAAAACAGCCAAAATGATTTTTCAACAAAATTAATTCCAGCTAAAATAAAGTATTTTACAGTAGTGACATACTGTAAACGGCTTAATTATTCACTGGGTTAAAATTTTGCTTATTTCGCTGAATGGAAAATACGCTAAATTAAAACCCCAGTAAATATGTAAAATTTAGCATAGAACACATTACCTAAATGATAAAACCGTGAATTTAAAACCCACTGAATATGCCTGAAATGGTAAATCAGTGAAAATTAAACCCAGTGAATATTAGTCATTTTACAGTATGTGCTTTTATTAAAGTTGTTTCTTATAGAGAAAATACAGAATATGTACACTCTGCCATGTGCAATTTAAACATACTAAAAAATGAAACTTGCCCACTTACATTCAATGACGAAGAGTTGCTACCTGACACCCCTTTTCATCTATGTTATACAAAATTGTAGTAGTTTTCACTTAATTTTTACACATGATTTTGTATTGAGTTTTTGAATGTTAATAAGTGTGATGTGTTTCCTACCACAGGGTGCTACACATAGGTTAGACATCAACCCATTAGACGCTGACATCATCCATTCAACACTGAGGAGAGAGGACTTATCGGACGAAGAAGACAGAAGAATGTTACAATACGAGAAGAAAATAGACAGTCTGATGACAGAAGTTGGGTCTCTGAAGTCAGAGGTAAGCTCTTATTTCACATTACATTAGACTTTTTAGCTCCACTGTCGACTTAGTCAGAGCTTATCATATGAGTGATTGTCTGCCAGCGTCTGTTGTAGTCTGTGTCAACTTTTTACTTTTTCGAATACTTCTTGAAAACTACATGTCTGAATGCTTTGATACTTGGTGTGTATGTACCTTGGGTAGACTCTCTCAGATTTGTTCATTTCATATTGATATCTTAAATTCTCTAATTTTGGTGAATATTGTTGTCATTTTTGGTAAAAAATGTTGAAAACAGCAAGTCTGATTGCTCTAATATTACCGTAGTTGTCAGAGTATAAACCCCTGTATGAATATAAGCCTCCCTCAAAATTTACAGCATTTTACAACAAGTCATTTATTTGATTATCCGCATTGCGTTCAATAGCATTGACATATTTAAATGAGCTATGGTAATTAAAACTTACTTTAATGGCCATCATGGGAAATCCAGCACATTATACACAATAGTGTATTATAGTGGTTCAATAAACTTGCTCAATGTATTTATAGAGAGATCTTGAAAAAACAAAAAGAAGAATGGAACGCAGCGAAGATGAATTGGAACTATCGCGTAGAGTAATCGAAGATCAGGAAGACGAATTACTGGATTTTAAAGATGAAATTGGTATACAAGAGAGAGAAAACAAACTATTACGCCGATCTGTGGAACGATTGAAAGATGAAGTTGACACGAGCAGGTATGTTTCACAAACTCATCCCTTTATTATACTGTAAAATCTGTATTAGAAGCCGCAGCTTCTATTAAAATGGTACAATGCAACAGAAGGGATGCAGCTTCTATTAGAGCATCTACACTTACGAGAAATAATAAATTTTTGCTCTCAATCATCAAAAGAATGGGTGCGACTTCTATTAGAGATGCGGCTTCTAATACAAATTTTACGGTGCTATAATATTCAGTCACTTATTTTGAAGTTACACTACCGGTAATATCATATTGTAGGTCTTGCCTCATTGGGTCTTGAGTACCACACTTTGATGCACATGCACCAAAAGTGATGTATTATAGATTTTATCCCCTCGTCTCATACAATCATAAATAATATGTGTTTTGTGTGGAAGTAAGAAATAGAAAATGTACAAAGCAGGTACTAGTATCTAAATTAAAGCATATGAAACAATGTCTTCTTAATTTAGTTGCCACTCAATCACATGCACAGGAAATTTAATTCAACAACTATATGTACAAACTGTAGCTAAATAGCTATTATTTAATTCTAGATAAATAGCCAAACATGGTGCTAATTAGCATTTTTTTACATTCTCAGGACTGAAACAGACCTCTTAAATACGGAAAGAGAATTACTGATGAAAAAACTTGTGGAAGCTGAAATGGACGGTGATGCTGCTGCAAAACAAGTCTCAGCACTGAGAGACATTATGTACAGAATAAAACAGGTGAGATTTGAAAATCAATAATTGTTAATGCTAGTAAATATATCTTTAATATCCACTAATTCCAAAATTCACAAGTTCCTTCTTTTCATCACAAATTCACAAGATAGTTCTGTTTACAGTGTGCACTTTCCTTCAAAAGATTGGGACAAAAATAGCCAAATGTTTTGAGTAGAAACTGAAAATTGACTCAAATTTTATCTTTTTGGTTAGGGTTTCATTTACAAAAATATTGAAGAATATAAAAAAAAAAAGTGCAGACAAATTTGGGCGAGAAAATGTTAATACACCTAACATTGCATAGAAATATCTTTTCTCTTTCAATGCATGTATGTGAAGAAAATACGCTGGCATTTACAACCGTTCTTGCTTTCTATTCACAATAGGAAAAAAGACTGTCATCTACAGATTCTAAGATACTGGCAAAGCAGCGAGAATTACTACTTGAGAAGCTTTCTGATTTTGAGACTACAAATCGTACGCTAAGGAGATTGCTGAGAGACCAACACCGTCGAGAGGTAAGAATGGGTTTGAATCCTTAACAGAGGAAGTAATGATTTTGGTATTTCGATATGCCTTTCCCTCTTGATTGGTTCAGGCAATGTCATTCTTTCAGATCACCTCTTTCAGTTCTGTTTGCAACCAATTCATTCAAACACATAAGTTTGTGGTTACAACAGATCTATCTACAGATCAAAGCAAAGAAACTACTTCTTACATTTTGAGAGAGTTTTTGTGAGTCAAAATCATGAAATTTGGTAGCTGATTCTCTGTGGTCATATAACACCTCCATAAATAAATGCCACCAAAGCACAATAGTTTCTAGCTGCAAAAATTAAAAGGTGTATAGTATTTATTTCACAAAAAATACTTTACTAATGTAAGATTACTAACTACAAGACTTTTTTATTTCACTAGACTGCAAGAGAAAGAACAGAAGAACAGCGTGATGTGCTCCTCAAAAAACTCACCGAATCAGACAACATCAATCAGAAACTGAGACATCACATGCTAGACAGAAATCAAGAGGTAGATGCTCTGACGGCCACTCTGCGTGCCGAGCGTGAACAGTGTAAAAGTATGGCTGAGTTGCATACCTCTCTAGAAGGAACTCGTGCACATTTACAGAACCAGCTGCGGAAACGAGAAGCTGATTGCAATAGAATGGCTGTTCAGTTACGAGTAAGTCATATATGCTAAATATTACAAATTCTGTGGTATTTTTAATACAGTGATCCCTCGCTAAGTCATGCATGTCAGGATCCAAGCAAAAACCGTGACTTATCGGCGTCGCGACTTACCGAGGGTCCGTATGAATAGAATAGAATAGAATTGTTAAAAACCAATCCAACTACCCACGACTTAGCCAAAATTCCGACTTATTGAGGTGCGACTTAGCAAGGGGTCGCTGTATTTATATATATGGCAGTGTAAACAATAAAATGTAGTCATCAGTAAATAAATAACATAGACATGTTTAAAAGTTTTATTAATATGTACAAATCTATTAAAGGTGTCTTCCTTATTTGGAAAATGTGCATCACATTTGAACACTTTTCTTTGTTTACTTGCGACTGAAATAGGATTCAGTCTCTGAATGCAAGTGCTCCCACAGACATGCATTGTATAAAATGCTTTTCATTGCCAATGCAGTTTGGTTTATATATCACAAATCAAGTTACAGTGTGTATGACCGCAATCAGTTAAAAATGTTATCATTAGAATACTCAAAATAAGCACTCTGGCAGTACAGCATCACATTGACTTTTACTACACATTGTGATATTCTTGTAACAACCTCATAATATTTAATGTTTTCTTCATTTTAGGGTTTGGAAAATCAGCTTGAACAAGAAAAAATTGACAATGAACATCTGCAGAATCTGTTACAAGCAGCTAAAGACAAATCTGCTGCTGATAAAGAAGCATTAAAAAAAGCCACAAGGTAAAAATAAAAAAAAAAAATGTAGCAATCTTGAACTTAATTAAATATATGCTGCACCAGTGTTTTATCCTCAAAGCCTTTCAACTGTTCTGTCCATGATGCTTAGATTTTTTGGACACAAAATAACAAAGGAATCAATTTACAAGTAACATTTTTATATGGAAATCAACTATAATGAGTATTTTCTTGAAGAGAACACTGTGCGAATACAGTGTTAAAGACAGTGCTTAAGGTATACCGGTACAATAGTGTTAATGAGTGTTTATGTTTTCCTTCATCAGAGTTCAGAAAGAAAGAGCAACCCGAAGTGAAGATGCCGTTGAGAAAATGAACGCTACATTGTTGGAGAACGAAACTCACCTTGCAGAAGTTGAGATGAGTTTAGACCAGTGGAAAGCTAGGGGGCAGAAAGTGATCAAAGAAAAGGCGCAGCTAGAAGCAGAAAATTCAGCTCTCATTAGGTGTGTTCAATTTCATTGTTGCGTATTATGATGTTATTACGAAGATACTGCAAAGTATGCACGAAGACAGTACAGCGGGAGTATCAGCCGGCATGCAGCAGAGGTTGATGTAATTGCGTACTGTCTAAGTGCATACATTGCAGTATCCTCATAATAACCTTATTATTATAAATCTTTTCTTCCCAGAAATGCATCAGGTGATTGCCGAATTCCAAAACGTGTTTAACAGATTTGGGGAACTTCTTTGTGTGGGGTGGGGGCAGCCATGTTTGTTTTTTATTAATAGAGGACGCTTACATGCGTAATCGTTCCATATTTGGAATTTGCGTTTCCTAATATGGTAGGATGAATATATTATATTTCTTTTCACTTTTACCTTGTTTCAGTTTTTCATGTCTCATACAAGTTTTATAATTAACTTAATTTTTAATTGTTCTTTCTAGTCGAATTGAAGACATGGAATTAGAAATCCGCGATTTACAGCAGAGTAATAGAATTAATAGTGACACATTAAACTCTAAACTACAATCTAAGAGCACTGAAGTATCAAGTCTAAAGATGGACAATGAAAGACTGAAGGTGAGGAAGAATCATTTCATTGCAACTCAGTCTTTTTCACATTCAAAAACACAAAATTTTAACCAGTTGCATTTCCTAGTCTAGGACTCCACGACTTGGACTCCCTGAACCAAACAATATTCTAAGTCCCTTTCTGTGGTCAGTTTAGACAGAGATTTTTTTACACTGGTGATTAGAAACTTGTCCAAAATATTATTTTGAATATGTTACTATACAGAAATGATTCAGCACCTGTCTGTTTCTGATCAATACTGAAAGTGCTAGTGCGAAATATTTGCATGCCCCATGGGCACTGTATATTGAAACAGCATTATTTACATTTCCCTGCAGACTTCTCTGAACAATGTGGAAGAAAAACTTTTATGTTGTGAGTCGGAAATCCGAGAACTGAAATCCAGCATTCAGCAGTATGAAAATCTGATTACAGAATACAAGACACAGGTAAGGGTCAGAGGTTATGTGAGACAGTGTTGTGTGAGAGTATATATGTACTACATTGTATATGCCGACACACTGGGACGTCATTTGTTTACATTTTTCCCAACCAACATCAGTACTACGGTAGCTATTTTTTTACTTACATGTGTCAATTTTTCATTGAGTACAAATTATTATAAGTGTCCATGCAAGAGTCCTTTTTTGATGCAGTAAAGGACAAACAAATACTGTAAAATACTTTATTTTCGCTTGGAACTAGCTAATTTTTGCTATTTTCGCTTGGAACTAGCTAATTTTTGCTATTTTCGCTTGGAACTAGCTAATTTTTGCTATTTTCACTGAAGGAATGATTCAGTGAAAATAAAATCCAGCGAATATACTTTTTTCCTATATTTTACATTTAACTCGTCAAAAATCAGTGAAAATAAATCCCATACGAAACACCCAAAAAAATCTTTTCAGCGAAAATTAGACAGCTAAAATAAAGTATTCCACAGTAGCATTTAAATAACCCAACTAATTTCATCTTCAAGCGACAAAACTAATTTTCATTGTTCTTCTCCATTCTCTTTCTTCTCAATTACATGCTTAATCTTGATTGATTAGGTTTCACCAGCACACTTGGCAAGACTTGTGGTATGTGACTTCCATTCGTTCGCTGCTTTGTATTTGCAGCTACATGTATCTTGTATCTTAAAGATTGACTCACTACCCCTACTATTCTCAGCAAATTTCTTGTTAGTAAGATTTGTATACTGCATAGCATGTGGCAGCTATATGTAGTATCATATCATCTATGTGAAAGTTGTGTACCCTCATCAGCCCATTTGTAGAGGATATGCATCCATGTAATGTTGCCAAAGAAAGCATCCACCATGGAGAATGACATCTCATATTGCAAGTACCGGTATAATAAACATAAGCTGAGCTTCATTTCCAGACAGTCGTGTGTCTGGGCAAAATAAGTCACATGGCATGTATAACAATACATGTAGTTTTTGATTCATGTTCCCTTGTGTTGGTGATGCGCTTCTAATAGAGCAAATAAAATACTGTAATGCTTGGTAGCTTGGTGTTGTCACATGCACACTGCATGTCATCTATGGCCTTAATAACACAAAACTACATTCTTCATGGCTGCATATTACTGAATATACATATCAAACAAATTGGCAATTGTAGTCTTGGTCTTGATATGGCTTCAATATATGTTGTGGTGTATTAAAGATTGTTGATTGTTGGTGTCTGTATATTATTTCACTAATGATCTTTCTGCATATACATCTGTGGCTGTTGGCTTTGCTGCCCTACTACATAGCATATTTTGTATTGTGAAATTGTATGTTGTGGTGTTTGAAGTTATTTCCTGTGATTATTATAGCTTCACTCCCTCTTAGGACTATAGTCTTGTCTATCACAGAAATCATACTGTACATGTACCATACTGATGTGAGGTGTAGGAGGAGATAGAAAGGCAATGATCATTTGTTCATTAGCATCATGACGTGAGCACATAATTATGTAAATTGTAAACTGTTTAATTTCATGAGTGAAATTCATGAAATTTTGTAGCATTGGTCCTACCAGTAAAAATATGAAGTTGCAGAAATTGAAATAAACATTGTTTACAGTAATGGATGTCAAAAGAAAATTCTTATAAAATCAAGACATGTACGAAAAAAATTGACTAGAGTGGATAAGGGGCTCCAATTTTTTTTTTTTGGTGATGTCAGAGTGCAAGGCTGTCACAGTATTCTGTCCAATAAAGTCAACTTTTTTTCTGTTTTTTTACCCCTGTTTATCTACATTGTACAGCTTTTTTCTTTTTCTTGGACAGACTTATCCTTCATCGCCTGGCTTTTCATCACACCATTATGCATCATATCAAAAGGTCTCATTTATTTTATTAATTAAGTAACTTCTATCCTAGACTAGAATCTTGGTGTTCATTCAACAGGATTCAAGCTTGCACTTTATAAAATCACTTTCTTCTGTGCTCCATCTTTTTCTTTTCCAGCATTATAAAGTAGTATTAGCTCAACAATGGATGTAACACTGTTACTGCACCCATGTTCCACACTAAGTAGTATTAACACAACCATAGCACTATTACTCAACTGCATGCTGCCCAGAATATTTTATGTCAACATTATATTCTTCAATTTGTGAGGTGATGCTGGTGATTTGCGAAGACTTCAACCTATTTGTCACTAAATAGCGCTCTAGTTTTAGAAATACCACAACCAATAGTTTGCCACTATTTGTACATTGTAGTTGTAGACATATATCAACCCTTGTTTGAATATATGAATATTAAAAATACCATACTTATATCATTATCTATAAATAGGCATTTGTATTGTAATTTGAGCACTCAAACTGGTGTTAGTGACCACCTGCCCATAGAGGTCTCTGTTGGGCAGTCCTGTTACACTTAACAAGTGTCTTCTGACCATATAGTCACCGTCTTTTTGGTACTGTTTTGATCAAGTACATGTATGAAGGCCAAAATGTTTATTTCCATCTTCAAATTATATTATGTTGAAAAATCATCCCTTTAAACAAGAACATCTGGTTTTATTTTCATAAATAATTCAGCTTTTCTATAAAGGCACCTGAAATTCTTATTGCCCCCAACTAATTACCTTTATTTATTTCAAGTTCCCTTTTACTCTATAGTGTTAAAATGTGGTGATTTTGATCCTGTTTTTGTAAGGTGATGTCGTTGGTAGTTGTGTGTTATGATGAGAATGCTCTTTGTTTCAATTTCAATATTGATTGCAGCGTTATAGCCAGAAAATGCCTGTCGAATTTATACTAAAATGCACGATAATAGTTGCTGGTCTGTATTCACAGTAGTCTATCAGTATTTTTCGTTGATTTTTTTATAGCTACATTTGTATTCTGTAAAAAAAAAAGAAATTTTCAATAAAAAGTTGACAGGTTTCTAGAAATTTAGCCTGTCAAATCTTATTTTGTGGCTGTCTAAAATGACAGGTGGCTGGCTAAAATGACGTGTGGACAGGTGGCTGGCTAAATACCTGATTGATTGCGTTATTGTAAAGAAGCATTCATTCATATTCTGTTTATTGCAAACTGTTGATAATTGTTAATTTGTTTTATTCTTCTTTTACTCAGATGACCCGGTCACAGAGAGAAGCTGATGAGGTCTCGTATAAGCTACAGTCACAGGAAAAACAAACAGACAGACTACAAGAAGATGGCCAAAGAGAACTAGAAAAGGTAAACACTATCATTGCACACATAAACACACAATTGAAGCGCAAAGGCAGACTGATATATGCAGATTGGTTTCAGAAAACACTGCAAACTGATAGTGCATACTGTCAAAGCGACTGTCACTGGTATTTAATTTGTCATGACTATATTTGCTTTTGCTTGATTCACTGATTGCTAAATGCACGATGTCAAAGCCCCAGACCATTTAAATTTAGAATGCATTGTTTCCTTTCAAAACCAGAAAATTTAAAACCTGAACATGCCTGCATCAAATCAAATCAAATCTGCTAAAATTTAACCCAGTGAATATTTCTCGTTTTCACAGTACAGTCTAGAAAAATTAGCGACAAAATGCCACATAGAATTTCTAAACTTAATTCCCCCTATCTGCAGGTGAGAAATAGATTGCAGCAGAGATTGATGGAACTGGAGCCGTTACCTGACATGCTACGTACTTCTGAGTTACAGCTACATGAATCTAATGAGAAGCTTATGACGTATGAAAAGAGACATGCTGAACAAACTAAGCTTATCTCTGATCTCTCAGTCAAGGTGTGTACTACTGTATATAAAACAAAAAAGCTTTGCAAAAAAAATAAAGGAGATAATTATTCACTGGGTTAAAATTTTGCTCAAATTTTATGACATGAGTGTCAGCGACTTTTTGGAAGTCTTCATGACTGCCATAAAATTCTGAAACAAGTTTTCATTCAGTACTGATTATATGAATTTCATTATGCTAGGTTGAACACCAAACTGACCAGCTTGAGAATCTACGAGAGAAATGGCACTCATCTCAGGATGAAGCCCGGACCATGCAGTCAAGAGTAGATGCCCTAGAAAGGTATGTTACCTACCATATATGGATATTTACCTCAAGTTAGTACACTGCACAGTGATACAACATGTTGTTATATGACACGAACAAATTTCAACATTCAATTATACTAATACACCTATTCTATGCGTTGTGTCCTTAAGTGCCAACGTGCTTTTATGGACATCTAACACATTGATATCATATGATGTTTAGTCAACTATCAACGAAGATTATGTTTTTGAACGATTTTACTTCAGGTGACAGTGGTCAATGTGAACGTTGCTTTTACCATATACTGTAAAATATTTATGCTTGGAATTAATTTTCGCTGAAGGAATAATTCAATAAAAATAAAATCCATACAAAACACCTAAAAAGTCTTTTCAGCGAAAATTAATTCCAGCTAAGTATTTCACAGTATACTTAATATATAGAAGTGCTCTGTCACAAAAGGGTGAAACTAACAGGAATGATGTAATATACGTTGTCATAAAATATTTCATAATATCTTCACTTAACAGGAATGTCAATTATCATTTATTAAATACTAAAATATAATCTCTGATTATGATTCAATAGAAAAATACAGGCCTCAGATGAACAGAATAGAGAACTACACATTATTGTAGCAAAAAGAGAAGAGACTGTACACCAACACCAGGTATGCTATTCGGTTCATTTCCCAGCAATTTGTGCTGCACACAGTGGATATGTTGAGGGTGCTCGGCTTTTCTGAATTCAAAATGAGATAAAGTCGTCTAACTTCTGATCATCAAAAAAGTGAAGCTTGAATTATACAATTCGATGCCATATATTGTGGTTAAAACGTTAAAGTATTAGAAATATTTATATTCACTGCATTCAATTACCCACCATAGACTCCGGTCAGTCAAAATGACTATTTTGAACTGTAGGCATTAATCTCCGATTCAGCCAATGACAGAGAGAGAAATCTAGGTCAGGGGAAGCCCCATGACCTCATGTTTTCCTTCACCTCACAAACCATGTGACCGAGGTAATGAGGCAACGCCATATTGCCTCCTTAATCACTTCAGGTTCTTTTTCTTCGCATCGTGTGTACGGCTCGATAAAAACCGTGCGTTTCAGTCATCCAGATGAACTATGTGAATAGTCAGGTTGAAAACCCTCTGCCTAATTTGATTTGCTTCAAATAAATTACCATATGTCCTGGTCACATCACCTAATTGACACTAAACTAACACCAAGAAAACTGTAACATGTTTATTTCAATACAGTCAGATGGATTTGAATGTTGTAAAAATTACGAACACTTGAACATTTTTTTATTTTGGGTTTTATTAGATTCGCTTGGAAGAAAAGACTCGTGAAGTTGCCAGTTTGTCTCGACAATTAGAACAGGCTATTGCCGATTCACGCAGAATTGAAGAACAGAGTAAAGAAAAACAATCTGCTAAAGACCGCAACAACCAATCAAGAATACTAGAATTGGAATCACAACTATCTCGAGTCAAAGCAGAAGTATCCCAAGCCAAGAGAGGAAAAGAAGATGTGAGTATTCATTTCCTTTCCACCCCTATATTTGTATAAATGGACTGACCTGAAAGTGAGCGACAATAGGGTCATTCCAAATTACGGGTGTGACAGCATGTTAATTGACTCACAGGATGTTTTATTTTATTACAGGCTGAGAGGAGATTCAACTCGCGGCTATATGACTTAAAAGACAGACTAGAACAGGCACACAGTACCAACCGTAGTATGCAGAACTACGTACAGTTCTTGAAGAGTTCGTACTCCAATGTTTTCGGGGATACATCCATTACATCATCCCCACTCAGGGATCGCTCCACCATACTTTGAAAAAACAAACAGCTGACTTAAATAAATAATATAAATAAACTTTTTCGTTTCATTTCATCATTTGTTGTGTGCATGTAATTGTTTTACTATTTTGAAGGTTTTGTGTAGTCCTTGCTGTAAATTTTAGACTTTTGTATTCTAAGCTTGTATGGCAAATGTCTCGAACGAATGAAACAGATGCGGGTTGTTTATTTCATTCTACAGTTTCTGAAATATTGTGCATTATCAAACACATTGAATTTATTTTCTGCATGAGGATTTTTTGTTTTTTTTAAAGAATTTTTTTTCATTTTAAACGGAAATTTAATTTAATCTAGTGATTGCTACCCTTTAGCAAATATTCTTAATAGGAGTTGTGAAAAGTCTGATTAAAATCTAATTTAGATATACGATTTGGAGATATATGACCACCAGTATACAGTCTTTATCTATATCTGACCAATGCAAAACTGGCAATTCCACCTTAGATGACATGCTGATGGATTGCTGAGACATGAAAGCAATTTGCATAGGTAGTTACATTGTAGTTGTCGTTTAAGGTGATGTACATCTCCCACCGTTTATAGTCCAAATTTGGTAGTTGAATTTTCTAGTGATTGATGTTTTAATGCAAATTTATTTTGTCTATGTACCACAAAAAATGTCTCAGCTGAACTTTATGAATTTTATTTTTAATGCATCATTCTTTTTACTGCAATATTTTTAATTCAATTTTTAAATACATGTATAACCAACAAAATCCGAGCCAAATATAGGTAGGTTATAATCAAACTGAGATTTACTCAAAGTTGTATGTGAAAATCAGTAGAGGGGTTGATGGTATGCATATCATTTAGTATGAGCCCAGCACTTTGTTTCATGTCAACAAATTTGTACTGTCAATCAATTTTATTTCATTCTTTTAATTTAAAACCAAAAAAAACAAAACAGGAATATTTGTTTATTTCTTAGTGTGTAAGGTGCTTCAAGATTTTTTTTAATTGTTTAAAATATTTTATTTTTTTGTCTATCATTGAATGTGTTATTGTAAAGTGAAGATTTAATGTTGTTATTGTAATCAATTTGTAAGTTACTCTTTGTATTCTCACAGTAAGTTACGTAAAGTTTTATTTCTTTTTTTATTTCTATTTGTGGTATTGTTATATATACTTAATGATATCTGTTTATGTAAGACAGTACTCCAAATTCTACATACTAAATTTACTTATTTGCTCTATTAGAAGTGCATCTCCAATAGAAGTGCATGTAAATAAAAAATGCATTAACTGTATACTGGATTATTAAAATATTACTTATTTGACCATGGAAACACTTCTGTAATTTACGTAAGCATATGTGCTTCTAATAGAATAAATTTCATGTCAGTACATTGTTTTCCCATTTGTTGGTTCCTGAATTGAATGGTGTGTGTATATATGCCCAACACTGTCGGTTAGTGAAATCCTGTGCCACCACAGTGGGCCTTGTCACGTTTGTGTGTGTGTGTGTGTGTGTTCACCTTTTGTTTTACTTTCATCATGTGATACAGGTCAATTTGAATATATTAGTCACTTTTTGATTTCACATATAATAGTCTTCCATTCTGACATCTTCAGAAACTAGCAATCCATGATAGGTTCAACAACAATTCAAAGCTGGTTACATAGCACACACACACTCAACAAAATTAAACTTACTGTCACCTTGATAAAAAGAAAATAAACTGAAATATTTATACACTTTCCTGAACATTATTTTTGTCTTAGCTCCTTTGAAACATTTAGTTTGGCCAATATTATATATACAAAAAAGTAGGGCCAATGATGTACTAGTACATGTAATTCATGACACTGAATTGTTGTAATATATTGTTTCATTTGGATGATGTTTTTTTACTGAATGGCTCGGATGTATTTAAACAATAATGAATCCCCAATAGTGCCGTATTGGATGAGAAGAAAGATCTGCGGCAAGTTAGTTTCTGAGGGAACGCAATATGATACTATGAGAGATTCATTAATGTTATAAATCACCACCATCAGAATTAACAAATTTAAATAAATAAATGTTTGGGCTTTTTGTTGAAATCAATTTACTTACGAATAGAGGTTTATATTATCGTGTGGTAATGTAAAGCTATGTCGTCATAGAAACCTCTAATTCTGATAGTGGTGATTTAAAATTGCCCTTAATATACATACATATGCTTCCTAATTGATATTGTCATATTCCTGTATTATACTAGAGTTAAAAGTTGTGTGGTATGGTGCTTCTCTGATTATGTATTCTATTGTCAGCGTATTTTTTATATTGTACTAGTGCAAGGACAGAAATAAAACAATCACAGAACACTGAATTTTTCATGAAGGTGTGAAATTATTAGTTTCAATATCAGATAATGTATTTAAAACTAGAAATTGATGGTACACTTTTATATGAGTGTCTATTCGATAAATTAGAAACCATTATATTTATTACTTAGTATTAATCCATTAAATCTGATAGTTTCTGTTGCCTATTTCGCCCATGGTAGTAATTTGGGACAAATTAATAACAATTAGATCTAAAAGTCATTGTTAACTTGCCATGGAAGGAGATGCTGAATTGTTCGATTTACGAACATCGAGTTACAAAAACACGGAATTTTAAAAAAATGACCACGCCCACATTTTAGAAACCACGTTCAATTAACAGTTAACCGAACTTCAAATTACAGGCAACATAGATGTGTTGTTTTGTTTAAAGTTCAAATTTAGTAAACTGAATTTTAATTAATTACCGATTTACGGCCAACCTACAGCAACTCTATGTTGCCCGTAACTCGACGTTCTGTTAACTGTTAATTGAACGAGTTACATCTTTGTCGTGGTTTCTAAAATTAAATGCCGTTTAAGCATTAAACCCATAGGTTCCATATGACAAATACAACGCGTGTTATTATGTGTAATTGGGTTTTATATTCGTGGCGTGGCATCCACTGCTCTGTGCATTAAACCATTTAGTGCACATACACAACAAACAACTGTATGTTACACTTGCAGTCATGCTCTCAAGTGACTAAAAAAGGTATTTTTATTGACTAAATCATATCAAAACAATATCCATGCTGCAATCAGCATTTCATTAATCGATTCACTTACAATAAAGTGTGTTGTCCAACAATAGTTTATGCTGATTTCATTGGAATGTTTATTCTTGGGAAACATAAATGCCCATATAAGATAGTTGGCAACCATTAAAACGTATCAGCAGATTTTCTTGTTTTTTAACTATGAGACTATAAAATAGTTCCAAAAATGCCTATTGTTGAATGTTTTCAGACAGTTTTTTTTTCAATATTTCGTACTGGATGGACATCTATAATACCCAAGATTACCCATGCGATTTTGGCGGGAGTGGGGTGTAGGGTTATCTCAGACGAATCAAGTCAACAAGTTACCCCGAAAACATGGCAATATGTGGCACCCGTAGGAGATTTTCGTTGAAACCAACATTATTGAGGGGTGGTTGGTTACATTATTGAGGGGTGGTTGGTTACACACCGCAGTCTCTAAATTGTCAAGATGTTGAAGCTTACATCTTCAACTGCGCATGCGTCGGCATGTTTGACATGTCAAGTGTTACTAGTGTTTTACGATACCATTTGTGTTAATACTTTTATACGGTGTTGTTAGGAGGCAAGGAGACATTAGTGCGACTATCCGTAGTGCAATAAAGTATATGCCTTGTTTACACATAGTCTCGCTGCCGGGAGACAAGTCCAGGTTTGAGACGGTCGCAGTTCTCAGGAAATGTTGACCCACATTTTGCAAATAAAGTCCACTGATTGTTCTGAACAAAGAGATTAATATACTTATGGCATGGTATTTATAAACATTACCAGCCCCTTTCTGTAAATGTAAATGTATTAATCGAAATGCTGCATTATTCGTATTACGAACATCGAGTTAAAAAATAAAAAACGTCCACTTAATCTTCGTATCTCATTAGTGCGGGCGTGGTTTCTAAAATATGGGTCTGGTCATTTTTGTAACTATATATTCGTAACGTGGCATCTCGTATTAGTCACAGCTCAGCAGTGAGTAAATTAAACCTGTTTATAGTATGGTTACATAAAGAACTGTTCCAGTTATGGAAAAATTCGTTTTGTGTTTTTTTTTTCTTTTTGACTTTCAATTTCCGCAAGGGATAATTTCCACAAGGATACTGTGGATTTGTCAAGGGCTAGACCATTTTTTGCGGGATGGTAGCTTATGCAGGCACACTTTACAGGCTGTAATTCAGATAAGTGAAATAAACTTTCGGGAAAGATATTCGAGTTCTTCAGTTTCTGGTGAGATAACCAGGGCTTCTTTCTTCGCACTAATTATACGGGTACCGGTTATGTCGCACCTAAACCAATTCACCCGAAAACCAACTCACCCGATACTCAGATTGCTATAGTAATACTAAAGTATAATGCAGTCTGAGCCCGATACCAACTTTGGTTAGTGCGAGCTAACGTTAAATATAAATGTACCACTCTCAAACACTTGAACGTATCATACCACAATATGGCTAAATATCGCTCAGTCCGACCTCTACATTCCCAAACGTCTTCGGACTGTTACTTTCAAGTGGTCAATGCTGTATCTGTAATTAACAGCTGGGTTCCATTTTACATGCAATGTGGTTTCGGATTAACATGAGATGTTGTATCTGACTTATTTGAGAGTGTTTGAGTGTCAAACAAAATATTTATATCCAACATATAGTTTGTGTGTGCGTTGCACGGCACGGCACCTTTCTGACAAACCAAGTATTTTGAGGAGATTGTTTAATGACGAAAATATGTCCAGTATGGTTCCATCATCATCAGCGCTTGTGGAATTTGTTTTTTACGATCCTTTAGATGAACCAAATTATTTTGAATTAATGATAAAAGAAATTTGGAACTTGAAATGAAATTCAGTACAGTTTGCCTGAAATATCACAATTCTGAATTATTTTTTTTCTTTATTAAAGTTGTATATCGTTTTGTCGAAACACCACATCTTTAATCGCGAGATCACCAGAGATATAAAGATTATTTCTTCTCTCGTAGTTACTTTGTACAAATAATTGTTGATGAGTTATATACCTGGTTATATACAAATCTGCAAACCTGCCATGTTTTATATATAGTTTCTGAATACTAGTCGAATTACAATTTCGAAGTCAAACACTGCAACGGGCGCTTCCAATGTTAAAAGGTTTAACAGTTTGCCAACTGTATCATGTATTTTGTAGTAACTACAACTGGTAATTAATTTTACCTTTTACGAATTTTGTCTATTCTGGAACTACTTCGTAACAATTCAATTTTTTTGCTTGTTTTACGCTATTGCATACTTTTAGAAACCGTGCCGTATCGACGAATGATTCCGTCATCATTGTTAGGGCGTCCTCTAGTGTTGTCGAGCCACTCACACATAATGAACAAAATGTATGGTCAATGAATTTGTGACAATAACAAAATAGTTCTTGAGGCAAGCAACATACTTTAGTATATTTCCTGAGAATCACAGGCTAGACGTACAACGTAATCAATCAAATATTTTTTTCGTACACTGTAAAAATGTGTTATTTTTCTCGGTACGTACAAGAATTTACATCCAAATTAAAAAAGCCGTAAAGAATAATCCAGGGAAATTACGTTATCGAAACTGTAAAACGACTAGATGACACAATTCACTGCAAAATTCAATTTTCACTGTAAACTGTAAAAACGTCTTTTTTTCCCTTGTAATTTGTAAAAAGCCCTTTTTATTTCCCGTAAAACTGTACCAGCTACCCCCCTTGCCCGCCCTCCTATAAGTATCTGAAATGTTTGCCTCTATAGAAAGCTTTTAATCCAATCTCTTGTTGTTATACATGCTTTATAGTCATGGTTTGCACGACAACTTTTGGTCTTGGCAAGGTGTGTACTTGCTAGACAGATAGCAGAAGGTTGCCCTTGGTAGTCTCATCTCAAAGGTTAGTCTTCAAATCATTTTTTTTACAAGTTATATACAAGTTGTTTTTCACTTAGTGTTCATTGATGGCACTGGGATATTTACAACTGAGACGTATCCTCGGGGACGGAGCTACGTCACGGACGTTCTACGTTGCTGAGACGCGCATCACTGTACCATGTATTTCTATGGGCTCTGTGCGCGCTGCTGTGGAACGCCAGTGAAAACTCGAGAAAACAACACAAACTCAACTTTGAAGTAATCCTGAACAACCAAATTCATATACGTTACACACGTAGGGCTAATCTTGTTACACTGTTCAGGGGACTCTCAACAACCATCGCAACGTACCGTTTTCTGCGAGTTTTTGGTTTTTGTTTTCACCGCGAGGGTTGCCAGGCGGTAGAAAATGCCCGGATGTCCGCCCCCCCGAGAATTGGAGTTTGTTACACACATTAACAAATATAATGGGTATTGAGCTGGGAGACATAATATCAACTTCAGCAAATACAATTTTCTTTTCAAACAAATCCAATGTCATCAGCCACTGATACGAGGTGGGCAATCAACAGTTTCTAGTAAAGACATTTATTTATCTTGTAACCTCAATTTTGTACACATACGAGTGCATGATGCTTATAAAACTTCACCAAGTACTCCTATAGTCACTTTGACGAATATAATATTTTGAAATTTCTTTATTTCACCTATGTTCTTCACAATAATAATGTTTGCAGGTTTGGGCACCATTTCAGAAATACTTTGATGGTGTTTAGTATTCCGTGTTACAAGATAAAACTACTCGATTACAAGTGTCTGCGTTATGTTCTTTCCTTGTGTCACATAGATTGTGTGAATTCTACAACATACAGCTCAATTGTTTGATCTCGGTTAAACATTTCTATGTACATCCAAAACTACTTGGACACAAATCGCCAATTTTATCACACAAACTTTTTATTCACTCAAATAGTGTTTATAGCTATTGTATATTTTATAAAGTATATTTTTTTTATCTCTTGTAGTTTGTTTTTTTAACATCAGGGTCAAGTCCATGTAGAAACTGAAATATACCTTGCTTTGCAGACTCAAGATTTCATGTTGGTGGCGCTGTTGCAATGTTTACAAAGTACTTAATTGATGTAAAAGACCTTGGTACAAAAGGTAAGTATTTATTCAGTGCACCTATCAATGTTTACTGGGAAAGGAGAACCAGTAGGGGAACTTGACCTTATTTTAATGGAGTGTCAAATTTCCTACCTAAGGGATCTGAACATGTGACAAACACACAAGAGGTACTACCGGTACTCTCTATTACTGTAATCATATTTATTTTGGTTTCTGTGAAATAAAAGTCATTAATTACCGAGGTCAAATGCCAATATTAATATTAGGACACTGAAAAAAAGTTTTGCTTTTAGTTTGCATGCATGTCTGGTTAAAACCTGCACGTCATCCACTTTCTTTCTTTCAACTAAAATAGAATAGGTAAAAGTTTGTTTTTTTCTGTTTCAGTAATCAGTCTTATAAAAACAAATGGAACACCACATCATTTTGTTGTTGTTGGTCTTATTGCATAATGTACTATTGTGCATATATTGCAAGTATAGTCTTGGATCATGAACAGGTGACTTAGATATTATAGAAATCTTTAATATGAACTTTTAAAAACATTATTTATTTGTCCAAAACTAGAGCCGCTCCAGACTTTGACACCTTTAATGTCATGCACAAAATGGCCGCTGTATTTAGGTAGAGATGATTACTCCCGGCAGTTCAGTGAAAACATTGATGGACAGTTTGGAATATGTTCATCAGGAAATGATATCATGGCAGTAGCATGTTTTGTTATATGCAAGCAATTTTCATGTGCCTTCCTGTTCTAGTTTCAGCCTTGCTAAATGTATCACTTCTTCCATCACATCAGGTTTTAATAGTTCATGGATCTGTGAAAGCAAACATATTTTAGTTTTTCAGATTCAATAATTTAATAATTTAGCAGATTTCACTTCATCAAAAAGAAAATAGAAAAATTAAAATTCAGTGAATACATAATGCATTCAAAACTTGAACTGCGCAAAACAAACAATCGGTAACTTGTTCAAATTATATAAACTTCTTCTCTAAAACTACATACCGGTAATTATATAGACAAGCCTTTCAAAAGTATTACTCTGTGTTGACATTTCCTTATTTGGTGACTTTATTTATCATCAAGGTTTGCGCATAGGAACAAGCCAGAATGGCCATAAAATTCCCTGTATAACATTGATTTTTGCGATAAATGACCCCTTACGTGACCACAAATAGTTCCTCTTATAAATTTTGTGTTCAACAGTGACGAATCAAGGCGTATGTCCTCCAATGCCAATGTAGTCATCAAATTATCCAGAAGCGATATTCCGCATCATAATTTACTGTAAAGGGGTTACTTATTCATTGGGTTTTAATTTTGCTTATTTACTGGAAAATGCGCTAAATTAAAATTCAGTGAATATGTAAAATTTAGCATAGAACGCATTATCTAAATGATAAAACCGTGAATTTAAAAACCACTGAATATGCCTGAAATGGTAAATCAGCGAAATTTAAACCCAGTGAAAATTAGTCATTTTACAGTATAATGTATTTACATGTACCTCGTATTTAGTGGATGTTTCATATGTATACAGTACACTAGTATCATACAACATAAGTCTGTGTTCTGCCAATCCTAAAATACAATTTCTAAGTCTAGCTATTACACCTCTCTCATCTTCCGATACTGGCTGTGGAGATAAGAAAAAAACAAACAATTATCACAATTACAATGGTAGTCATAATTGGTACTGTCAATTTCAAACATAAAATGACTTGCAGTATCTGATTCAACCAATCAGAAATAAAAAAAAACATTCTTTTTTGTATTTCAAGTCACCTATACAGTCACAAGTTTTTTCTTGAAGACTGACCTCCACAGGAGTCAAAAGCTGATTCCTAGAAAAATTGTTAGAGGACACACTGCTGTAGAGCACATCCGGCTCACAACCTACAACTGTGTGCAATTCATAATAAAAAAAAGATATATCTATGTGAGTGAACACACCTCTAGATTCTGTATAAATCCTCCTGCTGTGTCTGAGCTTTCATTTTCAACAGTAGGACTAATCCATATGTACCCGTTGTTTCCCAGTATAACACTGGCACCACATGGCAGATTATGGAAATGTGTTTTACGCCTTTTAACAAGTGATGGTGACACTTTGAGTAGAATACCCTGACCGAGCTGAAAAACAAATTACCGGTAATTACAATTTCTATATAAACAAAACAGAATGTTATTCTTTTCCTATTAAAAACAATGCAATGAAAATTGGATTGGCCTTGCGAACTAAAATACAATCATACAGTTCGAACAAATCATGTGCGGGATAAAATGGTGGTCACATGAGGTCTTTATACACAGGTTGCTTATAAATTATGCCTTTCAACTGCCTTAAAATTGTCACTATAGGTAGGTAGTCTTTATATAGAGGCGGTCACTAGCATAGTTTAACTGTATATCACAAAACAAATACATTGTAGTATTAACTGATAAAGATTTCATAGAAGTTTATGCTGTGTGCATTTTACCAAAGTTAAGAAGCCTACTCAAAATTTTTAGGAAAGTTGGCCATAAATGTTTATTGGTTTATGTCCCATGGCACCATGAAACACACTTGACCAAAATGTTAAAGAAAAAATGTATTTTTTGACATAATTCAGGACAACAAAAAGTACCCCATCAGTAAAAATATATAATTTTTTCAGCCTATGTCACCAGCCTACAATTTTAGATATGGCATAATATCTCTGCCATAAAAACCTATGGTAAAAGCATTATTATAATAATACTACCAAAACGGTAACTCTTCACTAAAATACAACTATTACTTTCTCATATTGCCCTGGAATACAATTTTGTAAAATGAATAACTTCTTGGTATTTTCTATTATGAGAAGGCTTCTACATTAAGTGATTTGTAATAGTAAGAAGAATATATACGGTACTCTTATCCAATGTTGTATAAATTGACAAATGCAACCATAGTGACAAGTATCTAGGTACATGTGCTTGTAGTGAGCAGTACATGTGTTGTATTGGATAGAATGTTTACCTTGCCATACTTCAAACTCCTTGTATGTAATGAAAGAGCGCCATCCGAAAACACAGACTGTACTTCAGCCTGTAGACAATTAGTTAAGGTTAAAGATAAGAGACAATCATCAGAATTAACATGTCAAATAAAGATCAAATGTATTATGCATTGTTCTTTAGATTGTATTTTGCTGACAGGTGTTCCCTAATTGTTAATGTTCACCAAAAAACAAATAGTATTCTATATATTCTTCTCCCTCTTACATGAAAGTAGAATAACTTTGAATTTTCTACAGATGTTGTGTTTTTTTTTTATAAAACATGGATGACCACATAGATCTCACACCATATAAGACAACCAAGGGGTGGGGAACTCTGAATACTTTGTTAAGCTTTTCAAACAGCGATGCTTGGACATTGATATTCAAAATTAGCAAAGTGGACTCGAGCTATTTCCGAAGCTGTGCTTTTATAGAAAATTTAAATATATATTTGGTCAAGAGAAT